TAGCCATAGTGAGATTAGAAGTTTCATTTTTGGCCCTTAAACGTATGGTGTAGCATATTATACAGCACCTCTCCATAATTTCTGCAACAGCGTGCCTATGGGAGTGGCCTTATTTTCTCTAATAGTGCATAGAAAAGACTAGACTCTTCTGAAATATTCTTGTGTGACTAAGAAAAGGGTAAAGTTAAACAAACTCTACTTTCCAAAACAAAAAACAGTCTGCCTTATCAAAGTGATTAAGCAGATATTCAATTAAAACTAATGTCTTAAACTATAGTAGAAACTATGAGATGATGAATCATGATGAAACGGCATCTGTTCTGATTGCACTGTGCTATGCTTTCTGTTGTTCCTGTCACACTATTTCCCTGCTGCTACAAGACTGCATTAAATAGCAATGTGCACTGTCCATCTTAGATCTCTTTAAATACTCCTGTTCAGTACTTGATGAAAAGCTTACAAATGCCTCTCAATTCATTGTCAGTTCTTTCTAATACCAGAAAACCAGGAAGCTTTTGAAGGGCTATTATTATGATGGACATTATACATGTAACCAGGACTTGAATTTGGACCAAGTTTGGTGATGCAATACAGTAGTTTCTTATGTTAAAATAAACTATAGATACAGATGGTATAGAGAGAAAAGAAGTGAACAGAAACAGAAATTATGATAAAATTATCATAAAATGTACAGTCACATATTTCCTATCAATAAATCTGTTAAAACAGAAGCAGATACTGTCATATGAACCAGTTTTTCATCTATTATACAAGTAGTTAATCCTGATAGAGTTCTATTTGTTTTTTTCTTTTTAACTACTGGGGCATGGAGGTCAGGACTTAATTTGTCTTCAAATTTTAGGCGAGGAATAAAGGGATCTATGAACCAGTATTTGGCAGACCATGTTAACAAGGAAGTAAGAGTTTCCCACTGTAAGTCTCATCCACAGGTTGTGGCCATTTTTTCAAGGTCATATTTGGTTAAGAAAGAATTTGGCTAACATTATGCTAAGAACCTTTCCAATCACCCATACATAATTGGGATGTTTAATTAAGTGACATGCTCAATATGCAAACGCAACACATTCAGAAATGTTTCAGCTGAACTGGATTGTAAGATGAAGATTTGCTTATTATAGCAAATAAAATATTTTGATCCATTTTTATAAGTCTTACACTAACTCTTAAGTTTCATTTGAAGGGAGACATGATCTTTGCATTGTCCCTTAAGTTTTTAACCTTTTCAATGAGGTACATTTAGAAGTTTAATGTAAAGGCATAATTTATTTCTTAAAACATGTGAAGTCATTAGCAATCTATATTAGTATAATATCTAAATGCTTTCAGCTTGTACCATTTTGACTCATTTCAAGTTTCATACTTTCCCCTCTTTCATCTCAGAATATATAGCCCTGTCTTTACCCTGTATGTCTTGGTACACAGAGCTACATATCATTTGTGCTTAATCCAGCTAATGAGAAAATAAATAAGGGTAAATGAAAACCTTATTTGTGCATCACTGTGGGAATTTTAGTTCTGTCAGTATAGTAAATATTAAGAGTCTCAACCAGAGTTGACTGTGTCTCCTTTTTTTACTCTTGAAGAGTTTAATTGATAAACTACAGTTTTCACTGGGACACTCATTTTAAACCAGCTGTTCCTTTTGGTAGGTGCATAATGTACTATATAATGTACTGTATTTTTTAGACCTAATCAGACTTTTATTTGCCTTGTCACCAGAAAACATGAGATAAACATCTCCCTCCCCTCCTCTATCACGTCTAAATTATGGTCTCTCATTAGAGTATTTGCAAGAATAGAACTATATATCTAGTGGAAAATATTTCCTTAAGCTTAGCACTTAACTTGCAAAGGTATATATTTATATATGAAAGTTATCCATAGACTTAAATCTGATACTCTTTTTACCTGCTTAAATATAGATAAAGTGGCATAATCTTCAAAAAATGTTACGTACTCAGTTAATCTCTATTCATCTTTGTCAGTGAATCCCTAAAGTAGCTTGCAGTAGCAAAAAAATGCAATGTAACAGTAACAAAAGTGATAAAGGAAGAATAAAGGAAATGTGTAACTTAGAATGTTTCACTTAAAAGTGGAGAAATTCTGCATATTCTAAACAAGGCCAGTGGAGCAATTGACATTTGTTGTAGGAGAAATGAATTTTCTATTTAATAAAATATTTTTAATTTTTAGTAGCCCCAAATGTTTTATTTTGGATGAGTTTATGTAATGTGGATTTACAGGTGATAGTATTGGCTTATTTGTAATGTTAGAAATCCCTCAGAAGTGCACTTGTGCTTTCCTATAAATATAATTACAGCCTGTGTTTAGTTATATGGAAGTAGAATGCTCAGTTAGTTGCCTTTTTCCCCTACATATCCATCTTTATATCTGTATTTTGCCAATTTTAGATGGCAGTGTCCTAGATAGTAAGTCAGAAAATGCTTAAAATTTTCAGAATATCACATAAGTATGATACATAGGATTTTAGAATAACGTTGATTTGATGGTTATTTATGTCATTAACTTTTAAATGTAAGAAAAACACTCACAAATCATTTTAAGAATTAAACAGTTAATTTAACCATGGTGAAAGGGCTGCTGCTGCTAAGTCATTTCAGTCGTGTCCGACTCTGTGCGACCCCATAGACGGCAGCCCACCAGGCTCCCCCGTCCCTGGGATTCTCCAGGCAAGAACACTGGAGTGGGTTGCCATTTCCTTCTCCAAGGTGAAAGGGCTAATGATCTCTAAAGAATGCAAAGATAGAAAACTTGTTTAAGCCTTGCTTATACATCAAATCAGTCAGACTAGGAACAAAAGACATAGGGTAATATAATTTATATAAGGTGAAACCTGACTGAAAACTTGCATTGTATTATTGCATTCATAAAACTTTTATTACCAAGTACATTTGTTATCAGTTACACATAATGTACTTTTGTTTGCAAACAGATATCATTTAAGTGAAAGCGTTCCATATGCTCAAAAGTGGTAAGAGATGTGGCAAGCTTCTCATCACATGATAGACTTTATAGAAGGTATCTACGTATGTGTCGAACTGCCTGCGTATATGTGATCTAGCTACCGACTTATCTGTTTATCTGAATTGGCAACCCTTCTAAAAGTTAACTCCTCTTTCTCTGTTCTTTCATTTCAGTTTGATTCCTTGTTATTTGGAGACAGTATGAGGCAAATGATTACTGGAACAAAAGGCTTTTTTGTATATAGATTTTTTTTTCCCAAACTATTTTCTAACCATGTCTTTTTATCAAAGAACAATTAAGCAAACTGTCCATTAAAATTTTCAACAGCTCGACACCTATTGGCCCAGTTAATTTTATAGCATACATTTCAGAAAGCCTTATGATATTTTCAAGTACAGTAATCTAAAGGTATGAGAATATGTTCTAAAAAATTCAGGAACATTTTTTAAAATCATTTTTGAGTTTCTTTTTGTTATTCCATAATCCTTTCCCTTCTTGTTACAAAATGATATGTAATAAATCCATATTTCAAGATAGCAAAGTAGAAAATATTCTTTCTTTAGTATGAAATATGAAGTATAAGTGTTTCTCTTTTTTTGAGAGAGAGAGGAGTTAATTCACCCTGAATTTTTTTTTCTTCTAAATTTGTTTTCATTATTAATTTCTCCTTTCTTTATGACATAAAGTACCAAACTCAAAGAGTTTGAACTGTGTTAAAAATGACTCAGGATAAATTGTGAACCATGTCTATGGTTCTTTTTTTCTCTTTTCAAAGACATGTTGTTCTAAGAATTTGTTCAAAAGCACTGTTTATATAAATACTTGCTTTTATTTACAGTAAAAATGAATAGTTTTTTCTAGGAAAGAAAGTGATTGCTTTTTCAAAGTTTGCAAACTTGCCAAGTTGACAAGTTGTCTGATTACTGATTAGTATAAGAAATGTCTTCATAGAGTGTGACTACCATCCGGTTGAGCAGATGGATACCTCAGGCTTCTGGGTAGGAGGATTCCTTGTTCACCTCTTTTGCCAGCCTTTACCTTTACCTGTCTCTCCACAGACTTTCTCTCAGACTTTCTCCCTGCTTTTCCCTTACTTTGCATTTTCCTTGCTTCATTTTTCTGTTCTATTTCTTTCTCACTCTCCTCATATCCTTTTCAGCTCTTTAATTTTCACAACTTTTGAAAGGGAAGTAAATGGTAGAAAGGACATTTTGAGCAAAATACCTTAACTTTTTTTCAAATTAATGAATAGCCATTGAGTAATCTTTATATTTCCGGACTTCCTGGTGTAAGTTTAGTTAGCTTAAATAAGAAAATGCTTAAAGGATAAGCTATAATATTAAATTTAAGATCCTTTCTTTGAGAGGACCTATATGTGTAGCTATTTTCTGGGGGTGTATAGGTAAATAAACAAATATCCTATATTAGTTACTATATGTACTCATGTAGTAATATATATTACTGTGTATATTTTTCTAGTACTAAGTATTATATATATATATATATAATTTGAAGATGGTGGTTCTATTTTATGAGTAAGTACACTGCACATACATTCTTTTTACTAGCTTTGATAACAGATATTTAAATGTGTATTTTTCCAGTTGTTTAATCATTATTACATCTATCTTAATCATACCAGTAAACTATTTCAAAAGGTTTTTAACTTGTAGCACTGTGCCATTGGTAAAGATTATTATGAAGTATTGAGAAAGCTGACACGTTATTATTTATTTCTAACTATGCTAGTCAGAGCAACACATCTTAGCATAATACATAAGAGGTGGAATCTGATAATATCTGATGCCTTTGAAAACCCAGTGTCTAAATACTGTGGTACCTTAATGCCATTATTCAATAGTTAAATAATATAACAGAAATTCTATAAACTTGGTTGGTCATCATTAAGAAAGGGTTTGGTAGAGATGCCAGAGAGCTCCGAAGCTGCTCGGCGTCTGGTAACACCCGCTCTTCCTGCGTCTGTCCCCATTAAGGTGCCTGTGTCGGTGGCCATGATGACTCCCCAGGTGATCACCCCTCAGCAGATGCAGCAGATCCTCCAGCAGCAAGTCCTGTCCCCGCAGCAACTCCAAGCCCTTCTCCAGCAGCAGCAGGCCGTCATGCTGCAGCAGGTAACGTGGGCTACCGACTGCGGAGCGCTGGCACCTGCGCTGACAGTGCCGTGGGCATAAATGACAAATTCTTTCTCCGCTGGAAAGGACACCTTGTCTGTATCCTGGAATATAAATGTAGCATTGTAATTGCAGAACTGCTTAGGAAAATTTAAACCCCTTAGTCTTTTTAAAGTCATTAACATCTAGAGTAAGAGCCGAAAGAAGTGTCATTTCGTCATGAGATAAATCGACATTTAAATGCTTAGGTGCATTGGCTTTGTAGACTTGCCTGCAAAAGTGCAGGGAGACCTCCAGGTAACTGTTCTTTTTGAAATTCCTAACCCTCCAATATTCCTTTTAGTTCACACAAGGATGAAAGTGATACTGACCTTCTGTTACAATGGAGAAAGTAACATCTCAAATTTTCCTTTTCAAAATTCATTTGGAATTTAGGAATAGAAGTATCTACTTATTATAACAAAGTTGAGCAGCTGAGCCATCAACTCATGAGATTTATCTTTTTCAAAGAACAAAAAAACTAATGTTCCTAATGTATATATATTATTGGAGCCTCAAGTTTATATGAAGTGGACTTTATGTCATACACTTAATTTTTCATAGAGAACATAATGTGCTTTAGCTGAATTCATATAGATTTAGTTACTTTGCTATGTTCTGTGATGGTGACCACAGATCAACTACTTATATTTCTAACTCTGATGTTCTGTCCATCTGATGGATTACAGTTTTTTCCTGGTAAGAACTGGTCACCCTGATCTTCTGTAACTCTGTAGTTGGTTCTTATAAATGGTAGAGTAGATGGCAGATATAATAATCTAGGCTATTCATTTGGCTCCAGCACTTTAGAATACAGATTTTTCTATACCCCTTCATTTAGGATATTTTGGACTCTGAATTGCAGTTTCACAACTGGCTTGGGAAAAAAAAAAATGTATGTAGATCTGTCTCCTGGAATCCAGTGCATATTGGTTGTTGTTCTTGTGAGACTGAATCTTAATGGAGACTCTACCCTATACCAGTGTAGAAGAGTTTAGGAGGTTTATAATACATGCAACTTTTGCCTTTATTTATTAAAGTCAAAATGGTTTATTCAGCAACAACTACAAGAGTTTTACAAGAAACAGCAAGAGCAGTTACATCTTCAGCTTTTGCAGCAGCAGCAGCAACAACAGCAGCAGCAGCAGCAGCAGCAGCAGCAGCAACAGCAACAGCAGCAGCAGCAGCCGCAGCCGCAGCCACAGCAGCAGCAGCAGCATCCTGGAAAGCAAGCAAAAGAGGTAGGATCCGGCCAGCTCCTCCACTCAGAGGAGCGCGAGGTTGGGAAGGGCACAGAGAGGCCAGGGCAGTCTTTGATCTTCCCATCACCAGGCTCTTGCTGTCAACGATGCACTATTATGCATGTGTACTGAGCTTAATAGCAGTGACAGTAGAACTCTCCTGTTCTCCTTTTTTGTAGCATGGGACTTAAGAGTTATAACCCAATGCTGCTGTCGTCTAATGTTCACTAACGAATCACAGTGTACAAAGAGCAAGCTGTGCGGTGGACAAAGTACTGGTTATCTTGCATGCACTGAGAATCTGAGTTGGTGAGGGAACCTTGTTTTTCTCAGTGGTGCAGCTCAGAGAACACGCATGCAAATTGAGCCTGTTGTTGGGGGTTGTGGGGGGAAAATGGAGAAAGTGGTTGGGCACAGATTTCAAAGTCACAGGCCCCTGATTAATGACTGCTACTGTAGGTTTGGAGTGGCGAGTAGAAAGTTCCAGATTGATATGCTCATAAATCAAACTGACAAGCTGGCTTCTCAGGCCTAGCTTGCACTTGTCAGCAAACTGCATCAAATATAAACATAATACAAACAAAACATGTTGAAGTAGTTAAATTGATCAGCAGGTATCAGAGCTGTTGTCTTCAAGCTGCCCATTATGCAAACGTACAGGAAACAGTTTTGACCCCCTGAGGCTTTGTTTCTGTTTGGATTTGTGAATAGAATTTCAGACAGCCATCAACTACAGAATAGAAATTGCTCCCTTATTTCTCCGGAGGCTTTGGGCAATCCACATGACTTGCTCCATTATGCAGTCTGTTTTCCAGTGAGCGCATCAGAAGTTTCTCTTTTTCCCAAACTAAAAAGGAAAGGTCTTCCACAGCAGCTTGTCTTTCTCTGAAGTGTGACTGCCTTCTCATACCCTCCTGAGTCCAAGGAGTCTGGTTTGTCTTGTAATGCCTCACAAAACTGGAACTTATACTTTTCCTTATAATAAGGGCACTTTTTTGGGCCTTGAACATAATTCTGCCTTTAATATATTCCAGTAAGAGAGAAGAGGAAGAGAGGGAGCTAACAGGCCTGTCCTATGAAGGCTACATCCCAGTTTACTAATAGATCACTAGAGACTACAGTCATGGACTTCTGCAGATCAAACTTACTGAGTTGGAAAAAAAATAAAAAGTGCTGTTGAAGTTGACTGTTTCCATCAAGTGTCATTCTTTGAGTATAAATAAATTTATTATCATCTGAAATAAGCCCATTTAAAACATCTGAACCACTGTGACACACTTTCTCTAGACCTTGTTCTACCCCCTCTCTCTGCTGCTGTGTTAGTATTTGAAGGAAAAGCAACTGAACATCTAGAACTCGCTCACATTCTTCCCTTGAACTTTGACGGTGGGATGACACTCACAAATGCACCAGGGCAATGAAGCGAGTGTGTGTTTTTCCATGCGAGCACTGTTTGCACAGACTCTGCCTTTCGCTCACTGGGTTGGGTTTTCTGACACCAGCAGCAGCAGCAGCAGTTGGCAGCCCAGCAGCTTGTCTTCCAGCAGCAGCTTCTCCAGATGCAGCAACTCCAGCAGCAGCAGCATCTGCTCAGCCTCCAGCGTCAGGGGCTCATCTCCATCCCACCTGGCCAGGCAGCACTCCCAGTCCAGTCGCTGCCTCAAGGTACATTCCGAACATGGTGCACATGTCATTTCTGAGCTTGCATTTCTGTCCCTGTGTGGCCTGTCTGCATCATCCCTTGAGGAATGTTTTATGACCTTCATGTTTATTATTAAAACATGACTGTTATGAAAACAAAACCCAGTGACTTAAAACCTTTGCAGGGCAGCAAAAGCAGTTCTAAGAAGGAAGTTTACAGCAACACAGTTTTACCTCAGGAAACGAAAAATCTCAAACAACCTAATCTTACAAGTAAGGCAGCTGGACAAAGGAGAACAAGCAAAACCCAAAGTTAGTAGAAGTTGTGAGTATGTGATTAACTTGCACATACTACTATATATAAAATAGATAATCAATAAAAACCTACTGTATGGCATAGGGAACTCTGCTCGTACTCTGCAATAATCTATATGGGGAAAGAATCTGAAAAAGAGTAGATGCAGGTATATGTATAACTTGGAGAAGGAAATGGCAACCCACTCCAGTGTTCTTGCCTGGAGAATCCCAGGGACAGACGAGTCTGGTGGGCTGCCGTCTATGGGGTCGCGCAGAGTCGGACACGACTGAAGCGACTTAGCAGCAGCAGCAGCATATGTATAACTAAGTCACTTTGCTGAGTACCTGAAACTGACAACTTGTAATTCAACTATACCCTTTTGTAAAATAAAAATTGAAAAAAATATGATTGTTAACATGGTTGCATGTCTCTTTGTCTTGAGACTCAGAGATTTTTATTACACACTGCTTTTTAAGTGTGTGGTAAACTGCTTTCAAGTGCTCTGTTAGATATTAAATGTGTATTTATTTGTTTTATAGAAGAAAATGTGTAAGAACAGCACAATTCGAGCTCTTAAATACATACTGAAGATCTGCAGGGAATTGGATTAGTGAGAAGGCTAACAACACTTTATTTAACATAAGTGAGCTGATAGGAGTTTTGGTGAACAACTGCTAAGAAAAAGATAGATGCTTCTAATCTTCACCCTAAAATCCCTGCATCTAAAAGGGAGGTTTTATGGATTCCTACAGAGAATATTCCAAGTTATGCTTGGGGGACCTCCTCATACATCCTGAACCATACTGATCCTCCTTTCTTTAAAATGATGTTGCCTATAATGTGAATTATAGCTTTAAAAAGTTGTCAATTGTATTCTTGTTTTTCTAATAAGAAAAACTTGGATGTACTTTAATAATTCAATAACACAATACCATACAAATATACATTTGTATGTATTCATTATTGGACTCAACTGGGGAAATGGAAAGGGTTCTAAGTAAAAAAAGAAAACAGAATAGTAAACAAAATGGTTCTTTGTGTGCTAAAATTCTCAATACTGGTAAAATTCATATATCTATGAATATAATGGAAAGCATATTCTAATTTCCATTAGGATTTTGTTGGAATAAGCTTTAATCCAAATGAACTTTAATTCAAATCATTTATGCTTGTTCCAGTGGAGCTCACTTTGTAGTAATACTCACTATGCATTTTTCTGCCTCTATAGGAGACACTGAAGAAAATAAAAAATGATTAAGTATACAAAAAAATTATAATTAGGCGAGTAACATGGAAACGTACATTACCACATGTCAAATAGATAGCCAGTGGGATTTGCTGTCTGGCTCAGGAAACTCAAACAGGGGCTCTGCATCAACCTAGAGAGGTGGGATGGGGACGGAGATGGGAGGGAGGGTCAAGAGGGAGGGGATATATGTATACCTAAGGCTGATTCATGTTGAGGTTTGACAGAAAACAACAAAATTCTGTGAAGCAATTATCCTTCAATGAAAAAATAAATTAAAAAGAAAAAAAAGAGCCTTTTAAATATTCAAGTTTTTGTTTTGTGCACATTGTTAAAAAATACTATGGTAGATATTTTTCTCTTTATTTATCAAATTACTATCTCTATGGCTTAATTTCCCCAGAATTCCTCTTTGATTTGACTTTAGAGCCTCTATTTCACCTGGTTGCATCACTCTGAAGAAATCAAGAGAGATTAAGTTTAAATTGTGAAAGAAAAACAAGGCAGTAAAACCATTTTTTCTGTGTCATTCCAAAGAGAATTGGAATAAACCAGCATGATTTTATTTGAGTAAAACCATTCAAACATTTTAAAAATGTTTAAAATGCTCATAGAAACAAAATGTAACATATAAAATATATTTGTTGAACTGCATTCTTTCAAATCAAACATACAAATATATTGTGAACAAGGAAATTCATTATGATATAACCATTCTAATAGGTTTTAAATGAAAACTTTCTCTTATTCCCGAGCTTTTTTTTTTTTGGATAGAATTATCTCCTTTGTTTTTCTTCTGTTTTTTTTCCAGTTTTATTGAGATATAATTTATATACAGCACTTTATAAATTTAAGGTATGCAGCATAGTGATTTGACTTACATACGTCATGAAAAGATTGACTTACAACCCTGAGTTAGTCCCTGATGTTTCACAATGTAATGATTCACTATTTCTCTACTATATAAAGTGATCGATCACCACTTACTTTTCTTCCTTTTGTATCTCTATAAAACACATGAGAAACAAAACACACAGAATGGAAGATATTGAGGGAAAAGAAGTAAAACTAAAAATATTTGAGCAATCTTGGTTTGAGCAGAAAATGGATTTAAACATTTTTTTAATTGAAATAGAGTTGACTTACACTGTTGTGATAGTTTAACGTGTTAAGTGATTCATATATATATACACAAAAATATGTATAGAAAGAATATATATATACACATATATTCTTTTTCAGAATCTTTTCTCACATAGGTTATTAAAAAAATATTGACTGTAGTTTGCTGTGCTATATAGTAAGTCCTTGTTGGTTATCTATTTTATGTATAGTAATGTGTATGTATAATCCTGAACTCCTAATTTATCCTCCCTCCCCTACCCCTTTGGTAACCATAAATTTGTTTTCTATGTCTGTGGGGTTATTTCTGTTTTATATATAAGTTCATTTGTGTCATTTTTCATTTGGATTCCACATATAAGTGATATCATATGATACTTGTCTTTCTCTGTCTGGTTTACTTCTCTTAGTACGATAATCTCAAGGTCCAAACAAAAAAAGATGAAAGTCATCGCTGTGTTTTCAACTGTTTAGATAAATATATGGGAAGTGCCATTGTGGAGACTCATCAGCCAAACTCAGAAGGAATGTGTCAGATAAACCAGCTACACTAAAGGAACATGAATTCATAGCACACTTTTGGAATTTCAAAGTTAAAGTGGGAGAAAGTAAAAAAGTAATTGTAAAAGTAAAAAAGATGAATCTTTGCCTCAGCTACTGGCTGTTTTGAACAAAAATGTTTTAATTATTTTTTTATCAGCTTTTCAGTTAACTTTTCATGAGGTTTTTGGTTGTTTGATTAATTAGTCACAAATAATAACCATATGAAAACAAAGTAGGATTAATAGCAATGATAATAGTCTCATTGTAGTTTTAAAAATATGCTATACTAGCAGTATTTATCCCCATGATTTAACACAGCTTGCTCAGACTACTTTTAAAGCTATGACTTTTTTCAACTGTATAAAAATTTGTACATGAGAATTAGAAATTTATAATTTTGATAAGGAGATTCACAGAGATTTTTCTCAATATTGCAAAATGATGCAATGTTATATTTTATCATTTTAAAGTAAGGCATTTTAAATACTGAGCATTTAAAGTCATCATGAACATTACTACAGTTACTACAGTCCTGGATTTTAATGTGAAGTAGGCAATTAAATTATGATCTCTAAGTTTGTATTTAGAGTGACTGTTGGTATCCAGGAGTCAAATAAGAAAGGATGGATTTGTAAACCCATCTTGAATAAACTACTGATTGTAAAACTATTTAATGCATAGTGTACTTTAAATATCAACTAATAATTATTTAGTGACATATCTTCATGACATAGTACCCTTGTTTACTATGGTACTTAAATAGGATTAAAAAATTAAAAGGTTAAAAAAATATGAAATTATTGTGACATGCACTTTAAACTTTGATATATATTTTTGACATAAGAAAGAGGTCAGTGTATCCCAATACACAGTACATATTCACAAATTTAGTATTAGTCCAGAAACTTACATATATATACACATACATACCCTGGAGAAGAAAATGGCAATCCACTCCAATATTCTTGCCTGGGAAATCCCATGGACAGAGTAGCCTGGTGGGCTACAATACAGGAGGATGCAAAGAGTTGGACATGACTGAGCAACCAAACAACAAAAACACATACATATATGTGTACATATGTTTGTATACACATACACACATATACATACATGTTTCATTCCAACTTTTAAAATATTTTTGAATTTATAATAGCTGTCTGTCTAAAACATTTTCATTACCAATCTGAGAGACCAAACAGGGAATTCTGGATGACCAACCAGTGCAATTTTGAGCTAACACTTTGTCAAATTAGATGAGCTTGGAATCAGAGAACTGTCGAACAATTTTAAAAAAAGATATATTTTGAAATAAAGTATAATAATGTCTTTTATGTTGAGTTAGGACTCTGCTGAAGTTTGTCTTTGGCATGTGTTCCGTCAAAGTCAGCTATTTGGCTTTGACTTCATGCTCTGCTTGTGAAACTCCAAATAGCCAAATTCCTACTTCAACACCATTCTGGCATCCTTGATTTTTTGCTTCATCTGTGATAATGGGCTTACATAGAACATATATGTAATAAGGGTAATAGTACTAGCATTATGAACAATGTAAGTCATGAAGAATTATTGTTACCAACTTAGTATTCCCTTTCACATACCAATAAACCTTCTATTTGTAACTTAATGAAATCTTTGGAGTTTTACATCCTGGAAACTCCATCAGTGAACTAAAGTTTGAATGAAAATTTATTACTGTGGGACTAAAACTTTGCGAGTTACTTGTGAATGCTGGTATGCATTAAAAACTAACTTAGGGGGACTTCCCTGGTGGCTCATTGGTAGAGAATCTGCCTGCTAATGCAGGAGACAAAG